ACTGTGGAACAATTGTAACAGAAGAAGGAAAGGAAAAGAAAGTCAACATTGACTTTGAACCTTTCAAACCAATTAATACATCATTGTATTTGTGTGACAACAAGTTTCATACAGAGGTAAGATGAGCACAGAGCATTCCCAGCTAAAGAAGCCCCGAGCCCATGAGCAGCTGCCCTTCTTCCCTCAGCTTCCCCAGCCCCAGGCCACCACTAATCTGTCTGTTAAGAGAGAGTGGAATCCTGTAGTCTAGCCTTTTTCTTTATCCTTTTTCAAGACTGTGTGTGTGCTCGCCTAGTTCTCTACTATTTTACCACTTCCTCATTGAGTACTCCGTGGTATTAGATAAGACACATTCTTTATGTGTTTAGAAATTGATATCTTTGGGTTGTTTTTCACTGTCTGGCTTTCATGAACGATGTCACTGTAAACATTCATGCACAGAGATTTGTTCGTAACCATTTGCTTTTATTTTTGTAGATTATATATGTAGAAATAGAATTGGTAGCTCAGCTAGTAATCATAGTTAATCCTTTGAGAAGTCACTTTTCTAAACTATAGGCAGCTGTAACCTTTTACATAGTTGGGGTTTTGTTGTTGTTTTTCCTTCGTTCTTTTGTGTGTGTGGGGGTGCTGGTGGTGGTGGAGGAGGACATGGTCCATGTTGCTGAGGCTAGTTTTAAATTCCTGGTCCTCCTGCCTCCACCAGCTGGGCACTTCAGCTGGGCATCCTCCATCACAACTGTTTTCAAAATAACGTATGTTATTATGATACTGCTCATTAGGATGTTTGAGGAAAGTGCTAAGTTGGATTTGGAGAACTAATTAGAGGCGGGTGATTGGCTGCTGGTTGATTGGTTACCTCTCACTCTTTACCAGTGATGCTTGCCTATATTCTTGCACTTTAGTCCTAAGCTCACAAATTGTTGAAAAATAAGCAAATAAAATGCATTTAATGGCAGGGTTTTCGGTTGTTTGTTTCTCTCTTTTCCTGTTCTTATGAAACCTGAGTGACAGAGCTAACTGTGATGAACATTAATAGTGGAAAAGAAACCTCATTAGACTGACCTAAATCAGTCAACAGGAAGCAATCAGGAATTCACAGCTGGCCCCTCCTTTAGTCCCTTGCCTCTCGTCAACCTAGAGAAAACCCTCTGCAGTGGAATTAGAGCTGACAATTTGTCCACAGTGTCCAGTGGGTGACTTTTGCTAACTTGACAGGAAGCCCAATCCCAGTTGAAGCTTGGTTGACTGGATGGTGATCTAGCCTAGCTTCCTCTTAGCCTCCAGTGCCCTGGCAAAGGCCTCTTGAGACTGTCAGCCATTCTGGCTGACGGATTTGCTTATATCAACTTTGATGAAAGCAGACTTTGGAGCTTTCTGATTTAAAAAGTACCCAGTAGTTGTATTGTCTGGCTATTTAGCTCAGTTATTATATTAGCATAATTGATTTTTACTTTTCTTCCAATGATTAAAATGACTAGTAGAGCTAAGGGTGAAGATTCTAATACCCCAAGCACCCAGCATTCCCCCATACCTAGTTTTTTACATGGATCCAAACTCGGGTCCTTATGCATAGCAAGCACCTACCAAGCCACTTCCTCAGCCCCTATTGGAGTTTATTTTGTTGAGACAGGCTGTTCTCAAATTGTTGTATTACCAAGGATGACCTTGAACTTCTGATCCTTCTGACTACCTGAGTGCTTGGGATTACAAGGGAATCCCACCATACCTGATTTTCTTGTTTTAAGACAGGGTCTTGCTGTCTGGCCTAGGCTAGCATTTTGGACTCAGTTCTCAATGCCTCTGCTTCCCAAGTGCTGGCATTATAGGCATGTCACCACACCAGACTTACTACTAAGTTTCATTTGTCTAAAGATAGATTGCTAATTGAGTAGCTTGCATTCTAGATCTTTTTATAAAGAAGGTTTCTTGTTCTTTAATTAAAATAGAATAAATGATTTCTCAGTTCTAAAGAGATCAGAATCTGGCCATTAATGATGTTCAAGGCTATATAAGTCATCACAGAAAATATGTCTCTGTGGGCCCCAGGGCTACTTACATACCTCTCAGGAGAGGCAAAGATACAGAAATAGTATGTAACTCAGTAGTTCTCCTATAAAACTCTAATCCTGGGGCTGGAGAGATGGCTCATCAATTAATAGCACTGACTGCTCTTCCAGAAGACCCACATGGCAGCTCACACCTATCTGTTAATTCCTGTTTCAGGGGATCTGACACCCTCACATAGACATACATGCAAAACATCAATGCACATTAAAAAAGCAAAAACAAAAAGCCTCTAATCCCAGCAGCACTCAGGAGGCAGAGGCACTCTGAGTTTGTAGCCTGGGTTACATAGAGAAACCCTGTTGGAGGTGGGTACTCTTTAAAATTGAGAGAAACATTCCAAAACTAAAGTCTTTTCAGACACGTCTGTTTTCCTTTACTTGTTACTATAGAATTGATTTACAAAAGTCTTTTGCTGTGGTAGTGCCGTCTAATAATGCTGAGGTCACTGAGAGTTAACAGAAGTTAAGTTGGCTGGGAGTGACTAGCTCAGAGTACAGGAGACTCCCTGGGTGCATGCACTTCAGAGCACTGCTCTAGAAAACCAGGAACCAAATTTTGAAATTCATCTTTAATTTGGACGTTACAGTCTGTATACCATCTATAAATAAAATGATGAAAAGGAAAATAAAGAGACTACAATTTTCTACTGACATTTTGTTTGATTGGTTGGTAGCTGGTTTGGAGATGGTCTCTCACTATGCAGCTCAGGTTGGCTTTGAACTTAAAATCCTCCTGTGTCTGCCTCTCTGGTGCTGGAGTTATAGAATGCCACTGTGTCCACCTTAAGTTTGTGTTGTGTGCATTGGGGGGAGGCAAAAGGGGACAGACACTGTGGCTTGCTTGTGGAGGTCAGGACAACTTGGTTGATTCTGTCCCTTCCACATTGGTTTTGGGGACCAGGTATAGTCACCAGGCACCTTTACTTGCTGAGCCATCTTGCCTGCCCAAGTTTAGATTTTGAGGTATTTTGTTTCTCCTTGGTTTTACTGTGGTAAAATCCAGATAAATCACCTTAGCTGCTTTCAGTTGTGCAGTTCAGTGTGTGCCATCACTATCTTATTTCCAGAACTAATTGTAACTGTAAACAGTAAATATTCCCCTTCTTCACTACAGAGTGGAGAACACCGTTCTACATTAGCATACATGTTTATAGCTGAGGTCTCTAAATGACTCCATTCCCTCCATGGTGGCATACCATGTTGAGTGGGGTAAAGTTGGTGTGTCACTGTGCGTGTGTCCCCGCCCTGGCAGAGCCCTGGAGTTGATCATGCAGTGTTTGTTGTGTTTGTTTTCAGGCTCTTACAGCACTGCTTTCGGATGACAGCAAGTTTGGTTTTATTGTCATAGACGGCAGTGGTGCTCTTTTTGGCACGCTCCAAGGAAACACCAGAGAAGTCCTGCACAAATTCACTGTGGATCTCCCAAAGAAACACGGTATATAGGAGGGCTGCTTGAGCTCTTTTACTTACCTCTAACAGTACTCATTAAGCATCAGTTTGTGCTAAACCGTTAACGGAGGTGGTGGCTTTTCTGTGTTTAGCTTGACTGGTGTTTTGTTTTGACTTCATGGCATGTTGTACTCTTCAATAGTTATCCCTGTCTTCCCCACCACTTTTCTGTCAAAGGCAGAGGAGGTCAATCAGCCTTGCGTTTTGCCCGTTTAAGAATGGAAAAGCGACATAACTATGTTCGGAAAGTAGCAGAGACTGCTGTGCAGCTGTTTATTTCTGGAGACAAAGTGAATGTGGCTGGTCTGGTTTTAGCTGGATCAGCTGACTTTAAAACTGAACTAAGTCAATCTGACATGTTTGATCAGGTAAGAGATAAGGAACTGCCATTTCGGGAGTCTAGTGTGGGATACATTCATCCTCAGCGTATTATGCATGTGTTTGCATTCCTAGCCATAAATTCCCTAGGTTAAAAAAAAATCTCTGGGTGGAAAGATGGCTCAGTGGTTAAAGGTGTGCACAGCTTATGCAGAGGACCTAAATTTGGTCCCAGCACCCACATCAGATGGCTCACAAATACCTATAACTCCAGCTCCTGGGGGATCCAGTAACATTTTGTCTTTGTTTTTTAAGAGAAAGAGAGTGGGATTTTAGTAAAGGTATTTGAGATCCTAATGTTTTTGTTTCTATTTGTGCCAGAGGTTGCAATCAAAAGTTTTAAAATTAGTTGATATATCCTATGGTGGTGAAAATGGATTCAACCAAGCCATTGAATTATCTACTGAAGTTCTCTCCAACGTGAAGTTCATCCAAGAGAAGAAATTAATAGGTATCACTGAAATGCTACTATTTTGCTTGTTCTGTGAAATGTTTTTGGTGTATGTCTGAAGTAAGACACTGAAAAGGTATAAAAGAAAGGCTGGGGTAGTAGTCCATACTAGTAATAGTATAGTATACTAGTAATCCCCACACTAGGGTGGCTGAAGTTATGTCAGGAGTTCAAGGTCATCCTTGGCCACAAAAGCTTTTAGGCCAGCCTGGGTTATATGAGACACTCAAACAAAACTAAAGTAAGAGAGAGTAAAAGAATGGAAAACTAAACATTTTCACTGAGGGAAAGAAAGTATCAGCTGGCCGGAGGTGGCACGTGCCTGTGTGATCCTGGCACTCAGGAAGCTAAGGGAGTGGTATTGCCGCAAGTTGCAGCTAGCTTGATCTTTCAGGGGGAGACTCTGGGGTGAGGGTGGGGCCAGTGGGGAAGTGGTTCAGTAGATAGAGTGCTCGAATAGCATTCCCAAGGCCCCTCCAGGCGGTCCATAGCACCAGTATGATATACTGGTGGGGAGCCTGTAATCCCAGCACTCTGGGTGCTGGAGGCAGGAAGATCAGAAGTTCAAGGTCATCCTTAACTATATAACAAACGGGAAGTCAGCCTGGGCTGCAGAAAACAAAAACTTGCATGGAATCTTTTTCTCTTCCCCCAGCTATAATTCTAGACAGGTCCAAAGGGGAGGCTTCCAGTCTCTCCCTGGATCTTATGGAGTTCCTTTACACTGCTGTGTTAGCCTCTTAAAGTACAGCACCAACCTTAAAAGGATGACTTGGGAGGACCTAGGAGCTGAGCAGAGATGGTCCAGGAACCCTTGGTCTCCTCAGCCACGTGGGCCTGCAGCTAGGCACTGGGAACAGGCTCTGGTGGATTATCTGTCAAGCATGGGCCTGAAAGTAGGATTCTCTTTATAATGATCAGGAATAGTGGAACTGATTTCATAATCTTGTGAGTTATAAAATCCACAGCTGTGCAAGGCCCTTAGAGAAATTGTGTAGTATTTGCATATAACCTATGTACACCCTCCCCTGTACTTTAAATTATCTCTTGATTACTTGTAATACCTAGCACATTGTAAATATTATGTAAATAACGGTATGCTGTCATTTAGGTTACGATGACAAGTAAAGGTCCGTGTATGTTCAAATATAACCATCACAGGCCTGGCTCCATAGTACACCTTGGCATGCTGTGCTTGCTTTTCTGAATGTTGAATCCATAGTTGATTAAGTTATCAAGAACCACCATATATTTTATTGTTATATCCCTAATCCACAGGGCGATACTTTGATGAAATTAGCCAGGACACAGGCAAGTACTGTTTTGGAGTTGAAGATACACTAAAGGCTTTGGAAATGGGAGCTGTAGAAATTCTAATAGTCTATGAAAATCTGGATATAATGAGATACGTTCTTCATTGCCAAGGCACAGAAGGTAAAAAAGAAGAAAATATTGTTGCTGTCTATTACATTTCCTGTGTTCAGGAAGCCTTGGTTTCAGGCATAGTTAGACGGGAACGTAAAACTGCATAGGGTCTAGGGTTATGTGTCCCTGCTCCCCACCCCATCCCCAGCTAGTTGATGTCTGTTACCAGTTAAATTTGCCAAGGAATGTTTCCTTATAGGAGCAGGGTACCAGGGGTGTATGCTGTTCATGGGACAGCTTGCTAGAGTTAGTCTAGGAGTCCTTTTCTTATCCAATCTCCTCTTATTATTTATATCTATTAGTATTGTGATGGCCAGATTAACACTTTTTTTTTTCTTTTTTAACTTTTAATACTACAGAGGAGAAAATTCTCTATTTAACTCCAGAACAAGAGAAGGATAAATCTCACTTCACAGACAAAGAGGTATGTCATTTTTTATTTATTTATTTATTTTTTTTTTTTTTAAAGGTTTATTTATTTATTATGTACACAGTATTTTGCCTGCATGTGTCCCTGCAGGCCAGAAGAGGGCACCAGATCTCATTATAAGTGGTTGTGAGCCACCATGTGGTTGCTGGGAATTGAACTCAGGACCCCTGGAAGAGCAGTCGGTGCTCTTAACCACTGAGCCATCTCTCCAGCCCGTCATTTTTTATTTAATGATAACATACAAAAAGCATTGTTAGAGCACTGGTAACATAGAGTATCAGCCTTGGGAAACAAAGCCCTATTCTCGTCTAACTGCCACACATGATCTGATCCCAGGGAGGGGGAAATCATGGTTGTATAAACTTCTAAAGTAGTCAAGGAAGCTGGAGGGGTGGTACACACCTTTAATCCCAGCACTTAGGAGGCTAAAGCAGGCACTTGTAGGTTCAAGGCCAGCTAGAACTACATAATAAGACCCTATCTCCAAAAATTAAAAATTAAAAAATGTTGGGAAAGCAGGAAAACATTATTATCCTTGAAATAACATAGATTTGCATTATCTGGCCCTGTGAGACCAATGTTGCTTTATTAGCATTTTATCATCTTTTCCTATGTACTTAGCTCGGTTTAATGCATCTCATGATTTATAATGAACACTGCCTTCCTAAACAAGACAGTTGTAATGTAGCTGCCTGCAGTTCTGAAGGGCCGGTGAGGAGAAGGCACATGCTGCCTGAGGACTGCCTCCAGGAGTTTGTCTCTTTATGGCATGTATAGGCCAAATACGTACAACACTGAATGCTGTCTTTTCAAAAGTGGGGCTGAAGAGATGGCTCTACAGCTGAGAGAGAGCACTTGTCCCTCCAGAGGACATCTCACGGTGATGATGACGACGTCGTCATCATCATCATCATGATGGCAGCTCACGACTGTTTCTAACTCCAGTTCTTGGGCACCAGGCACACATGTGGTGTACTTTTTTTTTTTTTTGAGTTGCTCTGTCTCTTCTGGGCTGTTGAATGAAGAGAAACTACAACAACCTACTTTGTGGAATCAACAATAGGAATCATAAGTTGACAACTCAGTATGGTTTGACGTTTTGTTGCTGAGGCTACAGCTTGAGGGCAAATACTGAAATAATCAGTTTATCTACCCAAGAACCAGGATATATTCAGGATCATACATTTCTAGTACTCAAAATGGTTAGGAGGATGAGTAATGACGGGCAGGGGCATTGAGAGGGTCAGGCTACATTTGTATTCTAATCCCAGTGTTTCTATGTCGTGACTGCCCTATAGACTGGACAGGAACATGAACTGATTGAGAGCATGCCCCTCTTGGAATGGTTTGCTAACAACTATAAAAAATTTGGAGCTACACTAGAAATTGTCACAGATAAGTCACAAGAAGGATCACAGTTTGTGAAAGGATTTGGTGGAATTGGAGGTGAGTAGCAAACTCCAAACAGGGTTTCTTGCCAGGGCCTGAAAGAAGTTACTTCAGGGTGGCATATGCCCGCTCTACTTGGAAGAGGTGTGGACAGTAGCAAGTGGCAGCAGCACATTCCTTAGTTTGAACCACTTTGCTTATCTTTCATGGTTCTTATTAGCATGTATTTATGTGTAATAATGATCTCCTGAGGGGCTTCTTTGTGTATATATGTGTGTGGTGGAGGTTTCGGTTTTTCAAGATGGGTTTCTCTGTGTAACTCTGGCTGTCCTGGAACTTACTTTGTAGACTGGGCTGGCCTTGGACTCAGATCCACCTGCCTCTGTTTCCTGAGTGCTGGGACTAATGGGACTAAGGCATGTGCCACCACACCGATTTTTTTTTTTTAATGCATGTACATAATGTATTTCAGTCATATTTAATTTCTGAGATTTTGTTGTTTTGTGTGTTTCTATGTCGGCACAAGAGTGCCATGGCGGGGCTGGAGAGATGGCTCAGAGGTTAGGATCATTGACTGCTCTCCCAGAGGTCCTGAGTTCAATTCCCAGCACCCACATGGTGGCTCACAACCATCCGTAATGAGATCTGGTGCCCTCTTCTGGCCTGCAGTCACGCATGCTGTATACATAAGAAATAAAGAGTGCCATGGCATGCATATGGCGGTCAGACGGCTTGCAGGGCTTGGTTCCTTCTATCGTGGGAGTCTGGTTGTGCAGCAAGTGCCTTTACCTGCAGAACCATCTTGCTGGGCCTGTGTTTTGTTTGAGGGAGTATAGTTTTGTGTCAGAGGATAACTAGGAGTCTATTCTCTTTCCATCATGTGGGTTCCAGAAATGGAAGGGTCATCAGGCCAAGCACACACACTATTTTCATTCTCTACCCCATCTCTCCCCACCCCCATTGTGGTCTTTGGAGTGGGGGGGCTGGCCTGGGACCCACTGTACGCCCAAATCGGCCTCCAGCTGGGCGATGCTTGTGCCTTGACCTCCTGAGTACTGAGGTTTATATTTCTGAGTCACATGCCTGCGGCTGATTACCATTTTGTAATTCTGGAAGAGGATGGGCTTCTCTTGGAAGAACAATCCCATCCTGCTTCAAGAACCCAGGTTACTCACTCTGCTTTGCTTCTCCAGGTATCTTGCGGTACCGAGTAGATTTCCAGGGAATGGAATACCAAGGAGGAGACGATGAATTTTTTGACCTTGATGACTACTAGGTAGTCGACATGGGTCCGGCAACATGTGCCTCACCCTCCAGCATTCAACCCAAGGAGCATACCCGTGGTGGAGTCCAAACAGATCCCTGCCTTACAATTGGAACATTTCCAGAACTTAATCCGTGAGCATTGGATACTGAAAAGCAAAGCGAAACAAAAGCAGACCCAACCCTACACTTTGGTTTGTCATGGTGTCAGCGCAGCAGCCTACAACTAAGTTCCTAAATGCCACTCCGGACTAATTGAAAAAAGAATCCCACTTTTTACTTTTACTTGATGGTAAAATTGGTTGCTCTTGTATTTTATGAAAAAAAAATGATTTTTTTAACCTTCATACATAGAAGCAAAAATACTTTAACTGCTGTAAACCTTCAAAAGTTAGTAGAAGTGAGATCATACTGGTTTGTTCTTATTTTGATCGGAGGATAACTCGATTGCTGCATTTCGCAGTGACCCATTTACATGGCATTCTCAGACTAGACTGCACAAGCAGAAATATATGTGGTGAAATATTGGAACTGTTTCTCTCTTGGTCTCTGTTTAATGTTGAAAGGGTGAGCTGACAGGAGGCCATTTCGGCCTCACTCCCTCACTTCCCACTCCCAGACTGTTTCAAAGGTGCAGGTTGATGCAAAGTCAGACTGAGTGCTCATACACTGGGGCAGTGCACTCCTGACTTCCATCTGTTTGGAGGCACGTCTGTGCCAAGCCTTTGGGAGCCAGCCCTTGGTGTCGCTGACGTTAATGAAGCTCCTGTGATCTCAGCCTACTAGAAACCAGTTGGGGATGGACACGATGGGGCTTCTGTGCTATTGCTGGGATTGGGGAGAAATAAAACATGCAATTTTAGTGGAACCAAAAAAAAATTCAAAGGTGATTTTGCTTGGATCTATTCTTGATAAAGGGAGGTGGTCGTGTTTCCTTGTGTTGGATGGCATGAGATTATGTGAATGTTTTGATTTTTTTTTTTTCTTTTAAATGAACTGCAAGATTTTTCACAGGAACGACAGACAAGACATGTATGACTGTGCATGTTTCTCAAACCCCTGGTGGGGCTGGAGCATCTTTTTCAAAAGTGGGACTTAGAAGCCCCTCTCAGATGAGAAAGTGTGGGAGGAGGGTGGGGAGGGCAGGGGTGGGGGGGGATGGGACACGGCTTCTGGCGCCATGGATTAAACCATGTTAGATCCAAAAGTCGGCCGAAACCTGAAGCTTATGCTTCGCAGCTGGGCTGTACGTTGGATTTGAACC